AGAGACGGGGTTTCACCATGTTGACCAGGATGGTCTCGATCTCTTGACCTCGTGATCCACCCGCCTCGGCCTCCCAAAGTGCTGGGATTACAGGCTTGAGCCACCGCACCCGGCCAGGATTTTTTTTTTTATATGAGATTTTATTATTGGTGTGGGGTGTATACATGTGGGTTTGTTATACAGCTAAAATTATGTCATGGGGGTCTTGTGTGCAGATGATTTTGACACTGAGATACTAAGCATAGCCCCAAACAGGAATGTTTTCTGATCCTCTTATTCTTCCCACCCTGCGCCCTCAACTAGGCTTCAGTGTCTGTTGCTTCCTTTTTGTGTTCATGTGTTTTTATTATTCAGCTGTTATAAATAATAACGTGCATTTAGTTTTCTGTTTCTGCATTCGTTTTGTTTGGTTTTTTTTGAGGCAGGAGTTTTGCTCTTGTTGCCCAGGCTGGAGTGCAATGGTACAATATCAGCTCACTGCAACCTCCGCCTCCCAGGTTCAAGCTATTCTTCTGCCTCAGCCTCCTGAGTAGCCGGAATGAGACTCATGTGCCACTAAGCCCAGCTAATTAGTAGAGACGGAGTTTCTTTATATTGGTCAGGCTGGTTTTAAACTCCTGACCTCAGGGGATCTGCCCCTCTCTGCCTCCTAAAGTTTTGGGATTAAAGGTGTGAGCCACAGCGCCCGGCACACCACACTGCTTTTTTACAATCCTTGAACTAATTTAATTCCCACCAATAGATTATAAGCATTCTTTTTTCTCTGCAGCGTTGCCAGCATCTGCTAGTTTTTGACTTTTACAAATAGTCATTCTGACTAGTTTGAGGTGGTATCTCATTGTGCTTTTTTTTTATTTCTCCAATGATGAGCGTTGACCATTTTCTTTATATGCTTTTTAGCCACATCTGTGTCTTCTGTTGAAAAAGCATCTGTTCATCTATTTTTGCCTTATGTCAAATTAAATACTTCACCTATTGCTACTTGGTAAAAGTGTGTGTGTGTGTGTGTCTTTGTGTCTGTGTCTGTGTGGTGTGTGTGTTTTTCAGGAACCATTGGAATTTAGGGATGTGGCCATAGAATTCTCTCTGGAGGAGTGGCATTGCCTGGACACTGCACAGCGGAATCTGTATAGGGATGTGATGTTGGAGAACTACAGAAACCTGGTCTTCCTTGGTGAGGATAACTTGAATACTTAATTCATAATACACCCTAAATGTTTTCTTTCTCTTTTTTTGTAGAATGTTTTTTAGTAATTAATTCTTTGCATAAAAGAGTTTCAGAAGCCCTTTTTCCAGAAACTCCTCAGAATTTGTTCACTTAGAAAAGAATTTCTTTAAGACGTTTCATCTTAATTCAAACTTTCCAAATTCTTGAGTTGAGCTGTATCCTTCACTCTAAATTAGTGGTAATTTCAGCAATTAAGTGGCATAAAATATTGTTGCCCTCACCTGAAAATCTAATTGCCACCACCAGTTTTTGATTCTGTAGCACCAGGTAGTAGAATTGAAAAACCCACAAGCAGGGCTGAGCACGGTGGCTCACGCCTGTAATCCCAGCACTTTGGGAGGCTGAGGCAGGCAGATCACCTGAGGTCGGGAGTT